ATGTATGTTTGATACGAGAAGCTTAAAAGCTGTATATGAAATATATTTTTATGATTCGAAAGGAAACAGTGTACTTAGCGGATTACTCATGAAATACAATTTCAAAGATTGATGCTTCAAAAGATTCATGCTTAGGTATCACTTTAGTAAATACCGTGATTATAATATGAATTCGAAACGATTCTCAGCGTCTTATAATTTTATTTATTTTCTTCGCAATTTTATTTTTCCCAAGCTTTCATGTTAGCTTCGAATATGTATGCTATTATCTGTTGAGATTTGAAAATTATTTTTCTTCATGCAAAGTACGAGTATTACGTTTGAAACCATCGCATATAGTGAGTTATATTGAATTTTTGCGTTGTATGTGTTGAGTTGTGAAGAAATTTGGCAAAAGATCAGTAAATTATTATCTAAACATATAATAAAATTCTAACAGAGCCAAATCTGTACGTGATATATTTTTTGGAAAATCTTATTGAAATAAAAATTATTATCGATACAGAAGCCGAATCTATAGTTTTTAGATTTTTTGTCTGCCTGTTTGTTACAGCATCACGGAAAAACCACTGGACGGATTTTGATGTGGTAATAGTTGGTTTAATCCGGGTCAACGCTTAGGATACTTTTTACAGCAAGAAAGTATCTAAGAAATCTATACTGACCTTGTGAAATGATGAAACCATGCTGAGTCGCTAGTTACATATATTTCAGTAGCAGTAAATGTACTTGGAATAAAATCTTTTTCAATTAAATTGCAAAAGGTTTAAACCCTGTGTCGTATTCTTCTACATATGTATATAGTCTTAGCTAGCAAATAATTTTGTTGCGAGAGTAAATATAGATTTTTACCTGTTTTATATATTATAAATACGTAATTATGATTGTTTTAATGTATTTATTCAAAATCAACTCAAAAATGTAGGAAGGATGCTAGAAATGATAGAAGGATGCAAAAAGCCTTTGAAATTATAATGCAAAATTATTCAATAGTAATTACTTGATAGTAGCGAAGGTCTATAATTTGAAAATATTATAAAAGAACTTTACTCTGAATATTTTTTAATATTTTAGTTTCCTTTTAATTAAAAAGAAGTTAATAAATTCAACATTATTTTAAAGGTCGATTATTAAATTATTCCGCCTTACGGGGTAGCATTTTTCTTTTAATATATATATATATATATATATATATATATATATACATTATATAAGATACATATATATATATATATTATACCCTTAGAGTTAACCTAAAAACCGATAATATCGATTTACAATTGACAAGCGTATCGAGTAACACACATCAACGTCTAAATTGATGTACATTTTGTTTTCAAAATCGTTCAAAATCAGGTCACAGATAAAAAAAAAACAACAGCTCAATTTTTAATATTTATTTGTTTATACCCCACTTCATTCTTCATAATATATTTACAAAATACAAAAAAAGGGGAAAGTGATCGCAGGGACTTACTTGTTTGATTAAAAAAGACGTATAGTGGTACAAATAATCGAATTACATTTATAACATCCTACGCATATCAAGGAACATAGCTAGTTATTATTTTCTACCGTGCTATAGTATTATTTCAGTTAAATCTACTTTACAAGAAGAAATAGAAATTTCAACAGTTTTAGGCATACTCGTATTACTTACCTTACACCAATAGAAAGTTTTAAGGTTCTTTGCAAAATAAACTATGTACGCTCTTTATTACATATAAATAGAAATAAATCAACTACTAAAGTTTACACAAATCACAAAATTGATTTTAAGTAAGTTAAACTTTGATGTGAACAAGTGCTTTCTTGAAAAAATAATAAAATAAATAAATATGTTGGAATATAAACACAGCACCATCTAGTTCCATGGTAAGCTACGACGCCTGTGTTATGGATGCCAGATATTTGATACACTACACATATGTAACTTTAAATACATATATATTTTATATATAAACACCCATGACTAGAGTACAAACATTCGTGCTCATCACATAAATGAATGCCCCCAGCGGGACTCGAACCCACGACCGCTGGCACAGCAAGTAGGCTCACTACAAACTGAGCCAAACTTGTCGTCAAAAGAAAAGAAATTCCATAAAAATGTATTATTTCATAATTATAACCTGAGATTTGATCTTGGCTAGTAACGCACTAATAATGATTAACATTCTTATTACGCACCTTATGTATTTTAAAAACATCTATTGTAAATCGTGGTGTAAACTAAATAATACGAGTTCAACAACAGAAGAGATTATTTACTTTTTAATAGAAAACAGTCGATAGATTTTTTAATTTATTCATTTTATTTGTCTTTATTACCTAAAAATTACATGTATACGTGTTAAGACCTCTTTTCAATTGATATTTTAGCTAATTATTTTTAATAATTTTGTAGTTTAAATATACTGATCAGTTTGTATATTTCTTGATTCATAAAATAGGACTTTATAAGAATTAAATCCACTTTTAGGGTTCTGTAGGCGAAGTTAGCCAACGGAATCCTATTACTATGCCTCCATTGTTCGTCGGTCTGTCCGCCTGTTAGAGTCATCAAAGTTATGCTACATACTTAAAGTAAGAGTCATATTAATAAAAAGTGCATGTACGATGAGACGACTATTAAAAACCAAAATCTTATTTATATATTTCTGTATTGGAAAATACATAGCTATATTTTTAATATAGATAAGACGGAACACTTCCTGTGCGAATTCAACTCGCACTTGAACGAATTTTTTATTATAATAATTTTATCCTAATATAATGTTGTATGTATCTATGTAATTATTATTTTCAACATCATTTAAATACCCGAGCTTTCTAATTTATTTTGCTTAAATTTATATATTATTATAATACATAATTATATTGCAGTTTTGTATTTTCAATTTTATTTATGAAAAAAGATGAAAAAAGAAAAAGCTTAAAAGCTTTTCTCTTGACATATTTATTTCATTTTATTTGATTTGTAATATCTGATAAGTTTTTGTATTCAGCCCTTTTAAACGTTCCACTGCTGGGCACGGGCTTCCCTTTCAATATGCGAGGGATTAGACCATATTCCACCACGCTGGTCAAGAGCGGGTTGGCGAACTTCACATGTCTTTCGAAAACTTGCTAGGTTCTCTCAGACATGCAGGTTTCCTCACGTTGTTTTCCTTCACCGTAAGGTACGAGTAAGTGGTAATCATATTAAAAATGATTCGCTCATGAAAATATCAGATGTGCGAGACCCGGGATTTGAACCCGCATCACTCGATTTCCCAAGCGAGCGCGTCACCACTAAGCTACCACTGCCTTAGTTTAATATAAATTATAGCAATTATAAAGTTTAATATAAATAACAATGGTCAATTTTATATAAACAGCAATTATAAAATCCCACAAATCATAATCACAGTACCAAAATAAACTTCAATAACTCTATTAAATACGAACATTTCTGATATTGACTTTTTCTATGAAACTTTTACATTAACTAAAGCATTTTGCAGACGCTCTTTGTTTTTCCATTTCCGCTTTTGAGTTGAATTATTTTCATTTTACTCGTCTCTATTCTAATGCTTTCTTAGACTCGATAGTTTTGTGAGGAAAAACTTTATTTAAATAAGTCATTTTATATTTGCTTTTATGTGGAAGTTTCTTTTTATTTTATATAAATTGAGCTTTTGAACTGTTTTTTGAGCTTATTTAGAGAAATGATTTAAAAAGACTTTGGCTTGTTACTTTTTAGTTGTGGCTAAAACTTTAAAGTTGTCGTATTCAGCGGATGGCTTGGTAAAATAATACATATTGCACGCCTTTTAATATTTGTTGCCAAATAATCTATTGAAAAGAGGCTTATGTTATTTACTAAATTGTTCTAGGAACAAAACAATTATCACTTCAGAATGGTGAAACAGCTACGTTTGAACTCATAATATTAATTATTTACAACAATCCAAATTATGTACAATGCCATGATATAAACTTTATGCTACTTACGTATCGTTTACTCAGCTTATTTACAACATCGGCAATTTACAATGTAACAAAAACATACTTATTTCCTTATTCAACAAATTTCGATTAAGTTCGTTCAATTTGCTATGTTAGCATTTCAACGGGCATCTGCTTTCATACTTGTGTTCAAGAAAATGTATATTTCTATATGAAATTATAGTAAATTTTATTAATGAGCAACAGTATTACTGCCATGAAATACATTTTTTTTTCATGTTTGTGAGTGTGTAATTTATTTATTAAAAACAAGTCCTCAAAATCTCATTGCAACATAGATTTTTGCGAGTTTTAATCGCAAATTAACGAAAACAGTCCACATGAGTGTTTTAATGTTACATCTTAACGACTTGAAATATTGGAACCCATTCTTAGAACAAATAACTTTTAATTATTCTATAACTTTAAATGCAGCCCTCATTAATATAAAGAACTATACCAACGGCATTCATTTAAAACTAATCTTAATTAACATATTTTCCTAGAGACTGGAGCTTTTGTTTCGCTTACATTAAACTTAATATGCGAAAATAAAAAATATATTAAAACAGCCATTTCATAAGTGAATACGTCTTTAACTTTGACTCGTATAGAGTTTTGTTTTAAGAAATATTATGGAGTACATATAAACATCATGAAACGCCTTGCTTTGATGGTTTTCCAAAACATTTTATAATTTTAATATTATAACTATGCCGCTTTGAAATTAAGTTTTTAAACATTCACAAATTGAGCGCTATGATCATAATATTGACTCCTGCGCAGCCTTTATATACTTCAATGCGGCATAGTTACGAATACAATACGTACATAATATATAGATTCGATGAATAACTCCATTTAATCATTCATTTGACATAATTTAACACGTTAAACTAAGTATACGAACTCATAACACAAATAAATGTATCTAAAATTAACATTTCAGGACTTAGGAGTCCGATTAAAGTAGCTTAACAAAAGTCCCAGGCGATACCTGAAGCCGATCATCTGCAGGCCATGGACGACAGGAGGTAAGTGAGCGCAGCGCAGCTCAGTTGAGACGTGAGGTAGGACGAGGCTCGATTACTTGTTTGCATGGCCGCGGGGTGTTCACCTGGTCAAAATATTTGCTTATACTTTCTTAGATTAAAGGGAATGTTTGATATTTTAAATAATACTATCTTTTTGGGTTTTTTCACGAATTCATTTTGATTTTTGGTTCGTGACTTTTCGAACGCTCTACAGCAATCATGATCATGGGAGAGACCCTGAGTTTATTTTTATTTAAAATTATAGCTTTAATTAATCTAGCTTTATCATACTCTTCGCTCGGCAAATAACCGCAGGATATAGCTCAATACGGGATAGCTATCTTTGGATTTACAAACATACCCTTCAATATTCATAAATATGGATGATAGTAGTGATTTAATACGAGACAGTACAGTACGAATAGGTACAGGCAGATCTTTACATTTTCAGCTTATTTTAATTAGTAATTTATTTGAAAGAAAAAAAAATAGCCTCTATAGTCTACGAGAATTTCATTTAAATAATATTTAAACAAACGATGAATCTCATTCATACAATTTTATATATCTCATAATCATACTTTATAAATTCTTTTTGTGTAGAAATAACATTGTTTATATTTACGAAGAAGAAATTTTAATACCACTAAAACATGAAAAGAATTTGAAAATTCTATCTTCCACAGTTACAGAAAAATTTTAAGCATCTCATGCTCTAGTTTCACAAAATTATAAGAGAAAACTTCCAGAAAATATTAGAAGTGCAACTGACAATGTGTTGTTTTTATTCGTTCGTCGAGCGCTTTGTCTGGAATATTCAGAAATAATTGCGTACCTTGCATGCGCCATTTGGGCTTATTCGTTGTTATGTTAGCATATTCTGTATACAATTGCATATAATACTTTGTACATTTAAAAATGCAAACAATATTAGGCATTCTGCTTCACTTTACTATTAAAAACTAAAATGTAGTTTTAATAGCCATTTTAAATAAAACTATATTTTCCGATTTTTTAGCGGATGAGAAAAGATAGTTTTATTTATAATGTCAGATATTCGCATAAATCTAAGAAAGTATTAATAGCAATCTATTTAATTTGAATAAAAAACTACGTTCAAATTTAATAAATAAAAATAACTTTGTATTTTTAGAGATTGTAAAATTATAATTACATTTTTTATACAAGTTATCAAAACTATAATAAAACAATACGAGTATTTGTCTTAATTTTTTTTAATCGATGAATTAGTATGAATTAATTTGTTTAGTAAAATTTGTGAATGTCTCCATAACTACATTTTTCCTGTTACAAACACACATACACACATACATACATAGAAAGTTATGCGATGTTCAAACGTCGCTTCATAAGAAGTAATATTTTTAAATTGAACATATTACGTATAATATTTTCAAATCTAGGTTTTTAACAAAAAACTAATTTTACTATAACAACAGAGAATGGCCCTTTGAAGTGGGCCCACGAGGGAAAAGGCAAAAGAGTTGACCCTACAGTCGGTGGGATGATAGAATCAGATAAATGGCTGGTCCTAATTTCAACAAACTCAATCTAGACAAGATATCTTTGGACAGATAAAGGGATTCTCGTAAATAATAGATTTTATAGGTATATACAGTATATTATTTGGGAAATACCTAATCATAGCTATATATTTCTAATATAGATAAGACTGAAAATACCTATAAACTAATGTAATGGAATACACCGATGCATTATTAAACTAGCGGTTTACACGTGAAACTAACAGTTTAACTAATATTTGGAAAGTAATTTCGCACCACGTAATATAAATTCCAGCGTAGGCTCAGTATTGTTGTATTAGAATATGATTAACTAGCGTTTTCCCGCAGGTCCATAACTCGATTATATATTACTATATTCATAAAAAATGTAGTCTGTATGTTACTCTGATGTGTAAGCTAGGTATATTATTGTAAGGTTTTATTAGAATCCGTTCAGTAGTTTTTGAATGAAAGATCTATCCAGCCATCCTCACAACCTTTCGCGCTTATAATATTAATAGGATAAAATAGTTTTGTATTTGGATGACGTTAAAAATTTACTACGTAAAGCGAAAAGACGCTTATTGTCATTTAAAATATCAAATGAAATAAAAGTTTATTAAAATCTAGATCTTAAATTTTAAGCTTTTTTTGATTGCTCTGATCATTTTTTTTATAAGATTTAATTTACATCTTTAGGATGTCACACATACATATTATGTACTGTCTGTACTGTTTTGAATGGGCTGTATTTTTAGAATCTTTTGCTATTGGGGTGAATTTCCTAACAAGTTATAATAAAATAGTAAAAAATAAAGGGAAGTCCCCAGACAAAATTGTATTTTGGACAAAAACAAACTTACCATTCAGTACATGAACGGAAACGGAAGCGGGGTGCGCGTTATTCGGTACACAGGTGTAGTTGCCAGAATCCGTGAGAGCGGCTTTGGTGACCAATAACTTGCTTGTAGTGCCTCCTTCTGTTTTCTCTGTTTCTAGACTGATGCCCCCTCGGGGCGAGTCGAAGTCTACCACCGCGTTGCCGTGGTACCTGCATTAAGAATATTTATGTAGAACAAATGAAAGGAATGTTACAATTTTTTTTTGTTTTTTACTGATAACAAATCTATGTCTATAGTAATTGCATTCCCAACCACTAGTTTTTACAAATGCTCAACGGGTGTCTCTAGCAATATATTTTTATCTATATCCAAAACGAAAAACTGGGAATGTCCATGACATACCGGTAAAGAAGGAGGATTGTCCAAAAATGTACATAGATCAAATCAAATCAAAATATACTTTATTCAAATATACTTTTACAAGCTCTTATGAATCCTCAATTTTACATTTTAAATTAAAATTTAATGTCAGTGTAGTCAGTCCGTGAGGAATGTACCATCGGCTCGGCATAAGTAGAATTTACTGAATACTTCGACCTCAATAAAAATATTCTAAACTTCTAAACTTTAAACTGTTTTTTTTTTCATAACCTATTCATTACGATATTCTCTTTTATTTGCATGTACCCTTCAAATGTAGTATAAATAAAATATCGGATTCAATCCACACCGTTCCCAATAGATCGACTATGCGTAACCTTAAAAATTATTCATACTTTCTTCATACCAATAAACATTTATTTCAAACCACACGTGTGTTTGATTTAGCGTGCAAATACTTAGCATGATAAATGGCGTCGCATCAAACTGAGAGCTTAAGCTATTTTCTTGAATCTGCTCAACCGATTGAAAACAGAATATTCCGTTCAATTTCATTAAGTCGATTTATCCCTTGCTGTTATCTATGTCGCAGAGGCATAGTGTAGCTGTAGAGTTATATAAAGATAATAGTTACCTACACTATTTTTTCATTAAAGTTGTTATAAGATTACTATTATAAATAGAATTAAAGCTTATATGTACATACTAGCATTGCCCGCGGCTCCGCCTGCGTTTAAATGGCCAAAAACCAAACTCTTAGGTTTTACATATTAGTATACTCTTACATTGCAGTTTTTGTATTTTTTCTCAGAAATGAGACATTTATGTTATGTTTATATATGTTGACCCGGATAACCAGCTATCATCATACCTAATTTTATCAAAATCCCTCCAGTGGTTTTTCTGTGATGCGGTAACAGACAGACAGACAGACAAAAATTCTAAAAAATACAGATTCGGCCTCTGTATCTGTAATAATGTTTATTTCAATAAAATTTTCCAAAAAATATTTAATGTACAGATTCGGCTTAGTTACAATTTTATTATATGATGTCTGGACGTATTTGAATTAAAAATTTTATACAGATATGTTATGACCTAGAACTACACACAGATAACTATTAGGTACCTAAGGTCGCATATAGGGTATATGTATGTATTCAGCCCGTTTTAACGTCTTACTGCTGGGTACGGGCCTTCAATACAAGGGGATCAGGCCCTAGTTTACCCGCTAGCCAGGTGCGGGTTGACCACCTTACCATGGCTTTCACTTGCACTATATAATATTAACTAATAAATAAATATCACCTCTTTTAATACTTAGATATATGTATGTAGATTGATATCAATAGATCTTTATATATATAATTCTTCTGTGAGTGTGTATGTCACTGAACTTCTCTCAAACGACTGGACCGATTTTGATGAAATTTTTTGTGTGTGTTTAAGGGGATCTGGGAATGGTTTAGATTCACAATTTGAATAATAATTTTCATCAAAAAAAATATTAAAAAAAGTTTGAAATTTTCAAATTAAAGACGTGTAGACAGGACAACGTCTGTCGGGTCCGCTAGTATTAGTATAAAATCATGCAGTTGGTTACTCTAGCAATGTTAGCTAGCTTTGTCTCCAGTGCTTTTAATTACAAGCACTAGGGGATTTGTTGTCTTCAATCCGGGAACTAATCGACGTTTCAGATTGATTGGTTCAGGTCTCAAGTGACCATTGAACGAGCTTTCTACACCAACGCATTAGTTTGCTTCCTGAAGACGATATTGATGCTTATGAGCATACTATATCTTCCTATACTTATGGTGTTTAACTCAACTATTTGGTTATTAGATCTATGATTTATCCTTGTTTTAGCAGTAACTCGTAGGTACTTGCTTAGGTCCTGACTACTTCTAGCCAAGGGGCTAAAAGGCTATGTGTTTCTGGAGAAAAGCCGTTTAGCAAATTTTTTTCCAATTAAAGTTAATTTTTACTAAATGTAGTTTATAATTAAATTAAGACTAAAATAATGCAATGTGCTAAAAATGTTATTTAATCAGTCGAATTGGGTTTTAGAATCAAAGCAGTCGGTGAAAATTCTATTCAAATCGGTTAATTTTCTCACACGGTTCCTTGTACCCTGGATGCCGCGAAAGCCTATTTTTTTCACAATATTGTAACTTATATCAATCAAATTTCTCATTATTTTCGAAAGAGAAAGAAAGAGAAAGTAAAAAAATGAGTAGAACTGAGTGCTACGATCTAAACCTCTTCGCTTGTTCCTCAACATTAGCGTTTGAACTTATTTTAGGTTCCTAACTTATCACACATAACATATTTTTAAGATGCTGCCTTTGTCACTGTGAGATTCATATTACATGCCCAAACTAGAATCTCGGTCATCTAGAGGCTACCATACATGGCTGCAAATACGGAGGTCTTAAGTGGGAGTCCCGGTTCGAGCCAAATTCAATTATTGAATTTTTCTGTTAAAAACTTCGGTTTTGCATCTTACGTCGCATCGGTTGTGTCAAAATATCGTCTCAATAGACCTTTAGAGTGAAGAGAAAGAGTGCTCGTTGTGATTGCGCGCATAGTTTTGCACTCTAATATCTCCTGCGCAGAAGACTTGTCGCAGTGAGGTTGGCCACCGTGGCCGTAATCAGTCAGTTGTTTCATATATTTATAAATGTATTTATTAAATGTCTAAAATACGTTATATATCTATTATTAATTACAACTGTGATATATTTTTTAATAACTTATAAAGTATTCAGAAGCTTTTGTAGCACGGGGACTGGGATTTCCGCTACTATACATTACCAATTTTTTTTAATGTTTTTTAATAATATTATTATAAAATTTTAAGGAATTTAAATATTAACGGGACTCATTTTAAGCATTTATAATCATGATAATGGTCCAAACATGAAATATTCAATATTATTTGCCTATAATCAAGTTCAAGCGTCAAGTTGTGTTTCCAATGCAGCTTTTAGAAGGACTTATAAATACAAATTCGTTTTGAGTAATCTATCTCGGGTCGTTCCCAAGGGATGTTATCTTATCGAATTTAATCAAAAGAAAAATAAAAGTAAGCTGTGAAAACAGCAATTCAATTTATAATATTTGACTTCTCCCTTCTTTCTGAATTTAAGGTCTATAACGGTTTTCCTTTGAAAATGAGCATTTAAAGAGCATTTACTCCAGATTGCTTTGTAAAAACGTCTTCATCTATTCTAATATTGGAGATTTCTTATTTTGACAAGCTAAAAAGTTTGCTATTGTAGCAGTAAAATTAAAAGTTTTTGTTGAAGAACCCTTCAAAATAGTAAAGGATTAAATATATTTCTAAAATATAGAAATATTATTGAGAATGATTAGTTGACTATACATATAGTAAAAAGTAAAAGAAATAATCATATGTATATATAACAGCCACAATTTTTTAGAAGGAACTTGGTTATTGTTTTGAGTGAAAACCTGTTTCGTTTTAAAATTAATTTGTGTAACTTGAACGCTTTTTAATATGCCCTGTATGAAATGTAGGTCTTACTTTGTGGCTGTGAATTAACAAGTATAAAGCAAAGTAGCATGTGGAAATTCGTTTTGAATCTTTTCCTGTTCTGGTATAGAGAGCATAGATAGAGATATTTATAATATGTATGTTTTTAAAGTTATATATGTGTAATGTATCAACTATCCGGTATCCATAACACAAGCCTCGTAGCTTACCATGGTACCAGATGGTGATGTGTGTCAATGTCCCAACATATTTGTATATTAATTTATTGTTGTATTTCATTTACCTTGTATAATTGATTTAAGGATTAAATCTGTACGCTTTGTTTATGAAAGGGCGGGGTCTCCTAATATAGGCAAAAATTACTTGCTTAAAAGGGGTCCTCAACCACAAACTTTGTCAACACTATAATCTCCTTATGCAAATAAAATATTTCATTTTTTTATTTTATTTATTAATATATTTTTATTATTTATAAATAGTTTTATCCAAAAAGCTTCCTAAAAATGGGATAGAGTAAAACGATTATAAATTTTATGTTTTATAGGTTTAAATTTAGTTTAAATAAATAACTAAACTTAAGACTCACCACAAAACAGATGCGCTGGAAGGCGGCGACGAGTGCACATTCACTGAACACGTCAGAGATATCGTGCTGCCTTTCTTCACGTACACATCCTGAGAGCCCCAGATTGTAGCTGCGGCCGCTGTAACAAGGAAATATTATTTTTATGATATTGTGCTAAACTTTATAATATTAATAATATTACGAGTATATTATATAAAACTTAAGTTTCTTGTTCCTTAGTTCGTTTGTTTATTACCATACTAATTTCTGCACCTACCTAATGAAAGATATATTTAAAATCGTAATATCCGATTTTAAAAGCATATTACATTTATTAAGAAAGGTTTTACGCTATCTATATCATCACTCTCCAACGTTTAAGTCTGGAGAAAATATACATACAAAATTACACATTACAGGAGGAACATAACTTTTTTATAAGATAATTAATAAAATATTGATTGGTCTTCAATATTTAGACAAAATATTAGTAAAACGTTTATAGAATGCTACAAAAGCTAGTGTTTAAATAACATTACGAACTATACAATTGCATCATCTGGAAAATCAAAGAAAAGAAACAATTCTGATTACACCCCAGTCTGAAATTCTGATAGAGATTGCAAATTCTTCAACTTATTACATCTTAGTTATTTCCTTGCAATAGAGATAACTTCGCTTCTGTTTTAGCTCTATTAAAGTTCATTTAACTCTCAATCTACTTGCACATACTAATATTTATTTCGTATACTGAAATCAAAACTAGTTTGTGAAATTCAGAGTTTATGTAAAATCTTACTTAAGGAAAAATATTAGAATCGAATCAGTACTTCTAGAACCCATTTCGTATATCCGATATCATTATTTGCTAAGTACTTTGCAATATTAGTGTACACGAAATCTGTATATAAATAGGTAAACAACAGTTTACTGCCTTTTTATCCTCTGTTTGCGAAACGATTTTTAAAGTTTAGTAGCTTTTTTTGAGTATAGTAGCTATTCATGGCTTTAGTGTTATCGATAAAAACAAATGATTATGTTTGAATTTCGACCACTGGAAACTCTAGTTGTATTAAATAGTCGTCTACACTAATATTATTATGAAAAATACGTAACAAATAATTTTGCTTGAAATAATATGTTATTATAGCTTTTCCTTGTATTTATTGTATACTAGTGACTCACCCTCGCTTCGCTTGGGTTCGTCCCTAGCTTGCTTCCCAATACAAACTTTCATAACCATTTTCACCCCCTTTAGAAATGATTTTCGGGATAAAAAGTATTCTATGTCCTTTCCAGGATCTCAAACTGTCTTCTTACCAAATTTCATCTAAATCGGTTCTGTTGACCCAGAGATTACCCCCTACAACGTCACAAAGTCACAAACTTTATCTCTTTATAATATTAGTATAGATTTTTACTAATTTCTTTGAGTAGTGGGTTTGATTCCTTCCTAGGATAAAACTTTGTATTAAACATAATTTTGATAACACAAAACATAACTGTAGGTTCTTAAAAGAGAATATGATCTATATATATAATAAAATTGTAACTAAGCCGAATCTGTACATTAAATATTTTTTGGAAAAGCTTTTTGAAATAGACATTATTATCGATGCTGAATCTATAGTTTTTAGGATTTTTGTCTGTCTATCTGCTACCACATCAAGAGAAAACCACTGGAAAGATTTCGATGAAGTTTGGTATGATGATATCTGGTTATCCGGGTCAATATATAGGATACTTTTTACTGCGGAAAAATATCTCATCACTGAGAAATCTGTACTAAACGACGAATACGAGCAGAGAGAGGGTGAGTCACTAGTCGATTATAAATCAAATATTCTTCAAAGATATTTTAGCTGCAATTTTGATATTCATATATATAATTTTTCAAATCTAACTTTAAATAGTAAGAGGTTTTGAGTATTCCATAAGATAACTTGTCAGTCTCAAATCAATTTAGAGAATTATTCAGGATATCGCGAGCAATAGAACTGGTATTATGATATCTACCGAATCCCTTTTCCAATTATTAGCCTTTCTTCATCTAAACGAACCATGAATAAAAATAAATGCAAAAAAGCCATCTTAAAATTCAAACTCAACTTTTTACCTAATTTCAACAAAAGCACAGTACAAAAATAAATTGTATTCTACGCTGAAGCTGGTCGAAAATTAAATGGCTATAGTATAATTAGAACAGGGTATGGAAAATAAAGTTAATTGAGGACTAATGAATAAACAAAACGTAATAGGAATATAGTACCTGCGGATCGGACCGGCGGCTGGGGCGCGGGAGTGAGGGACTCATCTGGAATGCAGAAGACAACAGCTTAGGGAGGGAGGGAATACTAAACAGAGTACTCTAACGAAAGGATGCATTGTTAAATTACCTCGACGTTTACTTTCAACGAATTATAGTGGGTATCTGGGTACTTTATAGGTATATATAATTGGTTACGGGTTCGATTTGTTTTTGAGATAAATTGTTTTGTTTATAGAGATTTTTCGGGATTGGTTGAGATTAATGAGCTCCAAAGTTTTACCGAATTTCAATAAACATACTGATGTAGAGTAAATAAGTAGTTCCTTTAAAAGTGTATTTCTTATATATTTTTTCTATCTGTAGGTTATTTTTATGCTTCATCTTTTTTTGCAATTAAATGATTGCACTTTTCTTGTAATAGATGTGAAATCGATATAATCTCATAAAATCTCGTAGAAAGAACAAATCATTTCTTTGCTGATGTAAATGTAAATAATTATTTTATTGTATTTTAGAGAACCTTATCATTTGTATATGACTGGTTTCTTAGAAATAGTATTAAATCAATTAATTTTATTACGAAATATAAAACGTACAGCTCATAATTCTAGCTATATTCTCAAGAATATTTAATAAAAAACATATAAGAAATTAAATTCTACAGTAGTAATAAAACGCCTGTACATATAAATACATAATTCGTTACGTCCACCATTTTTCAGCATAACAAGCTCTGTAATTGGCCCGAGAAATTGAGTCGCTTGATATATTTCTGATAGTGAAGCGTGTACTGATAAATGACTCTCGTATTACAAACGAGGAGATAAAAAACTAAAGCTCTATCGCACAGGATACGTTGGCCAATTATTTTAACACGGTTTAAATAATACGAATATATATTATGGAGCGGCGACACGCTTTTGACTGTGCAAGTAATGTTTCAGTTCAAATAGTTCAGAAGGAACGCCGTATTTACTTGGATTTTTTGTAAACAAAAATACTAGCGGATGCGACTAGAAAGATGAAAACTAACCTATCTACATATATAATCTATATTTCTCCGGGATAAAAATTTGCCTAAGTCTAGCATCAAGAATCGATAATAAGAAAGAATCGAGTCAATAAATATGAAAAAAAAACAACTAAGTCAAAAACTAACTCATAGATTATAGGAAGAATACCGCCTTACCTACCCAACGCAAGCCTTTTGTTTGAAATTTACTATACAGCTTGTATTATTATATAAACATTTTTAATGGTTGATTTAAGGCAGTAAAATGTAATAAGACATTTCTATGTTTTGAAATTGAAAAGTAGTTTTAGTGGTAGTGGTTCTTTTAGTATTATTTAAAAAAAAACTTATTACTCAACTTGTAAGTGTAACAATCACCACAGTATTCTATAGTCAAGAGAAAGCCAATATTTGCGCAATCAAACATATGATCCGGTGCAGTAGATACTCATCAATCATAAAGAATACGAATAACGTTTAATTCAATCGATTTTATGTCACAGCTTTATAGTAGGGGAGCCCAGGAAGCTAAATGGGGATTTACTCGAGCGTCATTGGATCTTTTTAGATTTTCAAGATTAGATGGTAGAAAGATAAGAAGGTTATATAATATGTACCATTTCACCAGTGGGGAGAGTGTCTACAGGCTTTCAAATTGAAAAATAAAAAAATTGTCACGTGAAATTACTCGAGTGCGTCAGATATCGATAGTGTTTGTGATGGGGGGTAAAATTATTCGAACACGTCTGATTTTCTGAGGAGATGGTGAACCCGAAAGTAGCTCCCTTTCAAAAGACTGACGATCCAGACGTAATACAATAACGCAAGATGTCGTGGTGGCTTTTAGAAAATGCAAAAATAAAACATTATTTTGAAATACTCGAGCGCGTCAGACTATTATACAGTCGGTTAAGCTTGATGTCCTAGTGCTAACCCATAATCTAACGATTATTAGGAGGGGCTTAATACGACGGGTTAATTTTTTTTTATGATTTCTTTCTGTATTGTCGCCATGGTGACGTAAACTTATACGGGAATGGTGCAAGACAGTGAGAAATTGAGAAAGAGTGAAAGAAAGAGAAGCGTGGATCGGAGAATAAATGCTTCACTGCAGCTGCAACTGCTCTAAGCTTTATGAACGATTTTTGTGACTTGGACTTGTGAAAAAACAGTAGATTATTGAAATGAACACTTTTCAGCATGAAATTAGTCCACCACACCTTAATCTGAGGCATTCAAGTATTTCTAACTTATCAACATATTTTTACTATTCGCGCTTGAGTTCCCCTATTGGGCTTCCCTACTATTCTAACGGAGACTAATGAAAATGTAAATTTGAATGTAAACGAATAATTCTTTACTACTCACTAATCTCAATATTAGCTTAAAGTATTAAGAAGTGATCAGCGAAGCGAGTTACTTTAAACAAGAGATTTTAGGAAGTAGCGAAAATTGGAACGCCAGCACTCTAATTGCACAATTTACATTTAAATTTAAATTTTGACACGTGAAGACAAAATTGTATACAATTAGGAGTGTAGTATATATTTATATAGCTAGCGACTTACGCTCGCTTCGCTTGGCAGTGTATTTAGTTGCCTAACAGTATGATATATCATTCCAGGTTATAATTTGTGTACCTACTTAATTTCATCCAAATTAATTTAGCAATCTTGGCGTAAAGAAGTAACAAGCATACATACAAATATTTACTCATAAAAAACCGTATTAAAAATAGTAGTCCAATAACAAGCAGTGTAAGTTACTGGTACAGTACAAAATTTTTATAAAATAACTTTAAAATATTTAATATTGAGGTAACTCCGTAAACCAAGATTGCTATTTGCATTCATATAAGAGCTTTATCAAAATTTTTGGGACAAGCACTTTTTGTTAATTATGCCATCAAAGTTTAATAAAACGACCGTTGCCTTTAGCCTATAAAGTTTTACTCTTGCATTTTATATAGGAAGGGGAGTGAAGTTGTTAATTTATTCAATTCAAAAGCCAATCTTTCTAACGTTGTTATTAGTCCGTACAGATGAAGCCATAAATCACGTTCATTTATATAAAAGGCACCTATACACTAGCGAGTTCCGATATACTTCTTGATTATACTAATTTACTAGCGACTCACGTTTGTCCCCTAGGTACGATTCGTATGAAATAGATCATAGTCAATCCTTTGCTCTGTGAACAACAAAAACACAAACATATCCCACGAGAACCGTAAATTTTTTCGGGATAAAAAGTAGTGTACGTGCTATTCCAGATCCGTTCAGCCGTTCTGGCGTGTTTGAGTAACAAACATCCATCCATCCAAAATTTCGCATTTATGATATTAATGGACGGAATTGTATTATCCATATCTACGAGCTATACATATATAATAGAATATAAAGCAAGTTATATAGGTATACGACATATATGACATGTTATATAGCTATTATGTAAGATTTCACGTGTATATATTACTTCATAGGTTCCAGTACGAGAAATATACTATTTATCGACTTGCTCTCGCTTCGCTCTGGCGCGGCCTAAATACCTAAGAAGAAGAATGAAGAAGCTTATATGTTACTCCGGGACTCTCTACATCTGTATAATAAGTTTCATCCAAGTCTGTTCAGCCGTTTCAATGTGAATGACTAACATACACATACACACGCACACACGAACCCACACATACACCTACACATACAGTATTTGCATTAGTAATCCGATATAAATTATCTAATATAAGATACTAGTTCCTACAATGTTAATGTAGACATTAAAAGTTTTATCCCCATTCCCTATTTAGTAAGAAATATACAAGATTTTAAACTCAGCAACTAAATCATCTTTACTTTACTGCTAATAAAAAAACATTCGTAGCACGCACACAAAATGCTACTCGAGTATATAAGTGAAAAGAATTTCGTACATAACATTTGACGAAACTCGCAACGTTATCAAAAAATATTCGCTACACGCGTCTTGGCGTAAACCTACTGCACCAAATATAGGCAAGAGAAATGGCTTCCACTTTATATCCCAGCATTACACCCACTTCTAATATGACGAGATGGATATGAGATTACATCGTCACTTTTCATAACAACTTCGTGAATTTGTTGCTAACATTAAAATGATAAACCATTCTTTTTATATATATATATATATGTATATATATGTATATATATATATATATATATATATATATATATATATATATATATATATATATATATATATATATATATATATATATATATATCTTTATAGAATACTCTAAAGATTTGTGAAAATGTTATTTTATTAAATTAATAAGGAATTTTTATATTCATCGAACGTATGAGAATAAATTGTTCATTAGTCCTCATAATAAGCAAAGGAAAATTAATACACTATAATAAAGTATTTGAGCTAAGAAAATGATTTAAAACACAATCCTAAGTATATCTACAAAAAACAAAGGCGGTGTTCTGTTAATATAAATACTACAGTGCAGTAATTAATAGAGCCATTACTAAATTAAAACAATATAATAAAATTTTCGCTCAATCCCTAACAGTAGATCAAAATATGTTAGTATGTTATCAATACATAAGAACAACTCAGATAATTCATTAATAATTACATTTTTACTTACTTAGACTTTGAAATTTAATCTAAGAAAACGTTAAAAAATCTTCATTGTTATTTATATAGAAAACGATTGTGCACACCTTTTTTATATATATTCCTAGGTCAAAATCTGCTAAGTAGTTATTTTAAAATATTGTCATTCACTGAGATGATCTTTGAAAATTTTGCAAATATATTAATTCAAGTTATTTAAATCAATTTAATAAATAGTTTAAAATGCTGCCTTTCTTTCGTTTGCAGCATTTTCTATCTAAAACGGTGAAAGAAATATGATTTAATAAAGTAAATGTAAAATAAAAGGTACAAGTAATAATTAGACTCAACAATTCATGTTTTATTACTGAATTTAAACTACTCTGATACATTTCCCACTTTATGTACACCTTGTTTGATTATGCAAATTTATTTAAAAATACAGGCAACATTTATTAAATGCTACTCTATCCTATTTATTAAATAAAGTAACAAGATAACATCCAAATTCTATAAATATTCATATATTTATTACCAAATTTTTAATCAACTTCAAAAATGGAGGTCATCCATTTCGTGATGCCTTTGGCAATTTAAACCGATTTTCATGAACCTCTTTTTAACAAAATGGTCAACTCGTATGTGTTTAAGAAAATACCTCTAGTAAAATTACATTTGAAGTAGTTTTGAAGTCATTATAAGGTATACTGACTTCAAAATCAAAAGTAAATAAACTATAATATAAATACTTTTAATTTTAGTAATTAGTTATAAAATAAATGATTACAGAAAAAATAGCAAAGTACCTTCCACGTTCAATATTACTGCCATATTTATTTTTGGCTCAGTATTTATCTGGCACTCGTACACCCCCGCGTCTCTTGGCTGCACGTAATCAATCTTCAAGTCCCAGTCGTCTGAAGGCTCGGGATGTAAAACGCTGAATCTCGCGTCGCCCGTGTAGGTAAAGATGTGGGATGTCAGTATGTGTAGATCCCTTTTCCGCATCCATGATACCTGAAAAAGTCTTATATATAGGTACTGTTGGCTTTTTGTAGACATGTTTATAGTTCAACTAGTGACACATGTTTAACGTTTAGTATAAATTTATCAAAGATGAGATATTTTCCCGCAGTAAAAAGTATCCTATATGCTGACTCGGATAACCAGTTATTTTCATGCCAAATTTCATCAAAATCTGTCTAGTGGTTTTCTCGTGATACGTTCCAGACAGACACACAGACAGATTGATAGACAGAACGGCAGACAATTAAAAATTCCCAAAACTATAAATTCGGCCTCTGTATCGATAATAATGAACATTTAAATAAGACTTTCCTAAAAATATTTAATTTTCAGCTAGAATTTTATTATATGTGTAGATTAATCTACTTTTTTGTGTTTTTGTGCTTTTAATTTTTTCTTTTCCTTATTAAAGTACAACGTTTATGTTTTGATAATATTTATGTTTAAGATCACCGATTTTTTATGGGAATCAGATAAATTTAAAAAGTTTATAATTGTAACCGATATAAATATATTTATAGTAGCTTAGCCTTATCATTCATTGTGAAATGGATTGTACGTCTATCGCGGTGTACGATTGCACATTGATAAACTTCACATGTCTTTCACAAACTTGTTATCTCTCAGATGTACAGATTTCCTCATGATGTTTTTCTTCATCATATTAGCAAGTGGAAATTATAAACTCATTTAGACATGAAAATGTTAAATGTATAACAGCCGGGTTCAAACCTGCTTGATCTGGCTTTCCAAGCGAGGATATTGCCAATGGAACTTACCTGCTAATTGGATTCACAGACAAACATATATTTATTTTTATGTATATAAATAAAGAAAATGACTTCGCTCTTATATTGTTCTGTTTCAGTTCTCAAAGCATAAATGTAACTATTAGGAATACTCAAGTCTCAGGCCAGTAGCATATTCTGAATCACAATTCATCACAATTTCAACACTAACCAATTCAATATTTTTACTATTATTATTGTTATTATAAAATATGGCAAATAAAATACGAGTTTATAACTGTTTTTAGTTTACATAAGCATGTTTTAAGTTAAATCAGAGAAACTAAAAGCGAGTTTTGCTTAAAATAAGAAACGGTAAGCGTCTAAAATTATATTTTTTTTTATTTCTTGCCTCAAAGAAATTAGAAAATAAATTCGCCCCTTTGTTTTTGAACGTAATTAGACTAAGCCCAAGTGAGCCTGCGTAAGCCTACGTCGTAATTAAGCAAGATGAAGCATCCACAGTCTCTTTACAGTCCCTTAAATAATAAAATTAAGTAACGGCTAAGCGTTTTTTTTTGGTGAAAATTCTACATCCCATTTGATGAATTGAATCTGGGTGTATTTCATAACAGTATTATGTAGATTTGGCGTTGTACAATTTTCTCTGCTCTTGCAAATTACATTACATTTTGTTTAGTTATATCTATTAATGTAATTAATGTGAGTGGAAATCTGGATTTCGGTGAATCCCATGGGATTCATGTGCTTACCTTCAAAGTATCATAATACTTGCTTGGATCTATTTGGTGGGATATAATATACGCTGAAATATTTGGATCTAGGTTATTTTATCACATATCGTTGTAATATTTTCAGCCAGATTTTTAGTTTGTGAAATGAATTCATCTTGTGTTTATTTTACGGGGAGCAGAATAAAAAATATTTTTTAGTTTGTTTTATATTTTGGTTTAGCAACTAAAGGTAAGTAGTATAAAACTTCTTTATAATCTGATAACTTTTTAATTAAAGATTTCTGGAAGATTCTAATTTAAAATTTACCCTTTGTTAGAGACATAATATTATTTTCCATTATTTTCTTTGCACTATTGGTAGATCAAACCTGTTTTATACTAACTGATACCTTCTATATATACTAAGACTCGGATACCTTCAATTTATCAGGTAAAAAAATCTAATTTATTGCATAAAACCCAACCTCTGCCTTCGCAGAATTTAAACACCTGCCCCCCAAAAATTCACTCCAAACACCCATATCACTGTAATTTCTAATATTTGTGACATTCTACATGAAAAAAGCAATTCCGAAACACAATATCACACTATAATGGAATTTCTCGAAAGAAAACACAGCAGTAATACATTATAATGCATAGCGGGACATGTCAGAGCGCTATTTATTTTCAGAAATGGGTAAGATCTTACACCATTAATATGGCGGTCAGTGGAGCGGTTCCGAGGGTTATCGAGGACCGACGAGATCGACGTTGAAAAATGATATTTTATAGTCTGCAGGTGTCCAGATAAGTTACAGTGAAGGGTTAACGGTCTAAATAAATTTAGGTACGCTATGATTGATCTCGTTAACATGATGATGTGAATTAATCTTGTATCATGTTATTTTTGTAACATCATATTTCGATTCATATTATCGATACAGAGACCAAATCTATAATTTTTAGAATTTTTGTCTGTCTGTCTGTCTGTCTGTTACCGCATCACAGAAAAACCACTGAAGAGATTTTGATGAAATTTGGTATGGTGACAGCTGGTTATCCGGGTCAACATATATGATACTTTTTACCGCGGCAAAATGTCTTATTTCTGAGAAAAAATACAAAAAACTGCAATGTAAGAGTTTACTAATATGTAAAACCTAAGAATTTGGTTTTTGGTCATCTGAATGCGGGCGGGGCCGCGGGAAATGCTAGTAAGAAATATAATTAGTTGATACTAGTCTATTAATGTACTGTTAGTTTACTACTGCTTAGTACCGAGCAATGCATGTGATTAAAGCCAAGGGAAGTAATAGTTTTTAAAAGAATTAAGTTAATAGCTTAGTTCGATATATTTAAAAATAGCTTCTAATCTAGATCGTAATAATATCAATTAAAGTGTAATATTAAAATTTAAATATATAAAAATAAATGTAAATATCTCTTTTGTAACAAGACAAACGATGACAATGAGTGAGGGTGATAAGCTTTTGTGCGCGTTCCAAAAAGGTTTCTTACAATCAACGATAGTCGTGTCGAATTTGAAATTTATTTCTGTGACACAATCCATACAACCAGGTGATAAATATTTTATACTATTTTTTGCTTAGTTCAAAATTCGACAACAATCGAACACATGTATTTTCACATACATTATGTATTTCCAAAACTTTTTATTGATAAAACTAAAATCATCAATAGTTCACAAAAAAAAGAAGAAAATCGTTTGATACAGACATTACATTGAACAGAGGAGAAAAAGGTACTGGTCTGTTTTGTTTTTGCCTATTTATTTATACATATATGTAGCAAATGGTTAACATAAAATATATTAGTAAAATATAAACAACAAGCGTCTTGCCCTCGCTTTGCGTATCTAGGTAAGTTTTAAAAAGATAAAATAAACAAAAATAGTTACCGTGAGTGTACTTCCGGTAGTTGGTTCCCTATACAAGCTTTAAATCCCTATTTCACCCTCTTCATGATTTATTTTTGAGACAAAAAGTAGCTTTTGTTCTTTTTGAAGGTCCCATCTATCTATATACCGAAATTTATCAAGTAGGTTCAGTGGTTAAGGCGTGAAAACGTGTCAAACAGACAAATTTACTTTTGCATAATTATAATATAATAAATAAATCAATTTCTCTTTCTTGTTGTTGTCTATGAAACAAATCCTCAGTAATTTTCTATTGAAATCTTAATAAGTTTAAAATTTAAGACCCTTTTATAATTGATGTATTTTCCTTTCCAATGAATATTTAATTTGTTGTAAAATTTAACACAAAAGTAATGCTAATCAATTTCTAACGCAATAATTTTCTTTCTTTTCGCTTATAATAATTGAAATATATGAATTTATGGAATAGTTACTGCAACATCGAGGATATTATGCACATATTATATACAATATGTATTGGTTATGACTTAATAATAACTAGCCGTGATGATTTAATGAATTTTTGGACTAATTATATAAAAACATAAAGTAAATATCAAAAATCAATAGAAAAATTTAGTAAGCTCACAGAAAGGGCCGCTATGAGATTGAAATGGGAGTCATTATATGTAGATAGTGGCTATTTACTGATAATATAAACCCTTTAGTGGCAACATAAAAAGTGTCACTAATCTGCATAATTATGTACTGTCTTTATTTAAGAACATGAATCTATTAATGGGTGAAAAAAAACTAAATAAGACGCTTTCTTATATACAATACTAGAAAGGATTATATGGTATACTAGCGACTTACCCTCCCCTCACCAGAGTGCGTCCCCAGATACGTTTTAATTTTTTTGAGCGGAACCCTAATACTTTTTCTAAAATAAAAGTAGCCTAAATTACTCATTCTTTGATTTCAGATTACAATATGGGTGTCTTAAAGGCAAGAGTGAATAGGTGGCTACTGAATTAGTGCGACTTACCATCAACGACTGCGTTACCACTTACCATCGGGTGGAACGCAGTCAAGCACTAATTCTGATTGGAATAAAAAAAAAACTCCTTATAACATCAGTTATCTGCCGCTGAATATCCCGTCAAAATCAGTCTAACGGTTTCTGAGATTAGACGGAACAGACAGACAGACAGACGGATGAACGCATTGACAGACAGACTAAAAATTGTGGTTTACATATAAATAGCGTTTATAAATTTACATGTATTAAGTAACAATTTACATTACAATTAAATTAAAGCATGTCAATAATTAAATAAGGCATTAATTAGGCATAATCATATATTTATAGAATATCATCTAAGGAAAGAATATAATATATTTATCAGACAATAACAACGGTTTCCATGGCAACATGGCAATGTATTCTATCTCATTCTCTCGCCGATATAATTTATATATTTATGTGTTTGTCTCATTTTTATGTCGCATTTCCGTTTCATCGCGATTCTAAAGAAGTTTCAATACAAAAATCTTCATAAAACTTCAGATCTTTCATCTAAAAATATAATATGTAGAAAAGTTAATATTTCAATATTAAATACTGTACAAATAACATCGCGTTTAATTGAATCCAACTGATTTACTCCAGTATTCATTCATCTTCCACAATAAAATTCCTACACACATTCGCTCACAACCGTTCTATTATTAAAAGCTCCAGCATCCATTCACTACTTATATAGATTAGCTTTTACAAATAAAATGGCTTTGAACACTTTGTTTTAGTACTTAACAAGCTTTTACTCGCAATTTCTGCTTTTTTAATAGTTTACGCTACACATCGACGAGCATTTCAGTGGTTAATAGATTTGACTTTAGAACAGAGTAGAGGATGAACTTCCTAGGGGTAGTATTAATATATTATGTATAATAAATAAATATAAATGTGTTGGACATTAACACACATCTAGTTCCATGGTAAGCTACGAGGCTTGTGTTATGGATACCAGATAGTTGATACACTACAAAGATATAATTTTAAATGCATATGTATTACAAATATAAATGCCCATGACTGAAATACAAATATTCGTGCTCAACACTCCACTCAGGACTCAAACCCGCAACCGCTGGCACAGAAAGTTGGGTCACTACAAACTAAGCCAAAGGTGTATGTACTTTAGCCATATATGTATGTATTATATATATTATCATACATAACAAATATAATTGAATGAAAATTAAGTATAGCCCATATATATCTTATCAATTATGCTTTAAATTAAAATATTATATCTCTACCATTCATTTATGTAAATAAGAAATAGCCTATTTTATCTAAGAATACGAGTGTATGGGGACAGTGAAGCTTTTTATAAGAAGGAAATACAAACAAACAAAAAGTTTATAATATGCATGACAGAAATAAATCATATATTAATATATTTACTACTTATTAAACACTCTTATTATAAATGCGAATGTTTTTATGTGTGTTCAAGTATCTGTGCATGTTTATTGTTCTTTGAAGTTCAAAGGGCTGGGAGGATTTAGTATAAAATTAAATATGACCACATGTGACACATAAGCTAGTTGCAAGATTTGCCAATAGGTGGAGCTACCTGTCATAAACTATACAAACAAATAAATTTGAACTGTCTGTTTGTGATTTCCAAATAACAGCTTTTTACTAAATGCTTATAAAAATATCTTTTTAAAAATGTTGTCTGTCTGTTTGTTCCAGCTAATTTTTGAAATAGCAGGACCGATTTTGACGCGACTTTCACTGACAGATAGATGATTTTATAAGGAAAAGCTTAAGCTACTTTTATTTTTTTTAAATGGATTTTGAGCCAAAAGTTTAAAACTCTTCATGGGTATTGTGAACAAATATTAAGCAAAATGATGTAAAGTCGCCAATTTATAATTATACATAATAGTTTACTTACTGTTCTATTCCCAGTGTGTTTCGCACGACACCTCAACACGGCGGACTGACCGACGACGGCGGACACGTTGCGAGGGGATACGTCGTCGAAGTAGGGCCGCTCCGGCCTGACCTCGCTAGCCACACCCGGTAGAACGCCCAATACTGTAAAAATACAAGGTATTTATTTATGTACTTTAGCAGAAAAACAACAATACATATACGGATATTTGACTTCGTTAGACTAGATTATTAATATTATGAATGTTATTATTATATTTTATATAGTAGGAATATCGTGCCTCACTCGCCATCTAGGGTTCTTAATTTTTTTTCATTACTCTAAATTCTGGAACAACTGTTAATCAGACTATATTTTTTGCTTTTGTATTTAATACAAGAATCCAAAGCAGACAGAAACGTGAATAAACTAATGAAGGCGAACCACGATCAAAAGCTAGTTTAAAATACAATTGAAGATTAAATACATGCGAGAGAAGCCGCGCGCTAGTTAATAAATATGTGTATATGACGAAGAAGAATAAAGAATCTGTGGGTTTCACAGTAGTCTTTCAGTGTTTTTGAAAAAGCTTAAGTATAACACTGTACGGGAGCTGCAGTTTCGCAGTAAAGCTCCCGAGCTAAGCCGCACTTAAAATCAATTTATAGTGGTATTTGCAGTTCATCGCGTAATTTAGTTTACCTGAACGAAGCGGAAGAGGATCTAGTAGTATAGTCCATATAATCTATACATAATGCAATAACGGGCTGTTAGTCCTTGTAATAATACTATCATTCTCTCGCAACTCCTCTCGGGTCGTTTAATCCTCTATCGTAGGTTGGAGTGTTATGTATGATTGTAGAAATAGGTTAGGTAATAGGTATAATAATGTATGTATAAAGATTCTTCAAATTGGACTGATCCAGAGGTTAGCGCGTTCAAACACACTCTTAAACTTTTTATTTATATATAATAATACTTCCATGACACATAAGAGATGGACTGTGTTATACAATTTAGCTGAATCGTTATTCGTGGATTTTTAACATAATAATTTTATTTAGGCAATATTTTGGCATCTATGAATAAAAGAGAGTGAAAGGAATACAAAGCAGAAAAATAAGGTTCATTTTCAATGTTTTTACTCAGCAGACGAAATGTAACAGTGTGGGTTTTATGAGAGCAGTATTTCTCTAGCCGAGCTGGTCGAACCGACCCAATTTTGATAGCACCATCAACATTATACTACTTTTTTATTGTAATAAATTGTTTTTCTTCAATTATTCAAAGTAAATAATTTTGACACTTTTATAGGTACTTGTTTGTTTGCGTAATGTAACATTTTGTTTTTGTGGCACAAACTTAAATGGGTCACGTGACTTTGACGTCGCTTCCGGTTTGCCAAAGGTTGCGGCTGCGGGAAGTGCGGTGCCGGCGCTAAAACATTCTATGGGAAAGCTCCATAAATTTGAATTAAAGGCTATTTTTAAAAGGTAAGTAACGATATGGATATTAGATATACGTAATATGTAGGTACATATCTCAATTGCAAGGACATTAATGTACTCAGTATTATGACAGTATATTTTCAATAAGTGTATAGAATATTAAAAGTTATATTTTAACCAATTTAAAAATATAGGTAGTTCTATCAATCAATTATTGTACATGTTTTTTTTTAATATTAGTTGATATATTTAATGTGACCCATTTTCGAGATTAATCTTTCATTGTAGGCGAATGGAACTGTCCACGTGAATGTTAAAAGTACATTCCACTTGTGAGGGTTAAATTACTACTTTTGTGTTCATTTCAAAGCAAAAGTAACTTTTAAGTTTGAATTTAAATATTAAATAATCTAGTTCCAATTTCGTCAAAATTGGTATTACAGCGCAAATCTTTAATAAAACACAAGGAATGAAATTTTATAGGTTAAGAACAAAATTTTTTGTATAGTAGCATAAAAGAATCGACGTAAAAAATAAACCCGCACCTAATTGAATTTTCCAGCCCATTACATTTCTTTAGCACTTTACGATAATTTTAAAGATAAAATTTCAATGTTCTGACGAATAAAGAAATATAAATAAATATGTTGGGACATTAACACACACCACCATCTAGTTCCATGGTAAGCTACGAGGCTTGTGTTATGGATACCAGATAGTTGATACACTATACGTATATAAGCTTAAATACATACATATTAGAAATACAAACACCTATGACTGGAGTAGAAGGGTCCGGGAACGACGACACGTTTGGCTTAGTTTGTAGTGACCCTATTTGCTGTGCCAGCGGTTGCGGGTTCGAGTCCCGCTGGGGGCATTCATTTGTGTGATGAGCACAAATGTTTATACTGAAGTATGTAAGCCTTATGTTATGGTATCCGTAACATAAGGCTCGTAGCTTACCATGGAACTAGGTGGTGCTGTGTGTTAATGTCCCAATATATTTATTTCTTATTTCTAAACTAGGCCAAACGTTTCGTCGTGGAATTAGCTGAACAAACTCATCGGACTTGTTAAGTTATTGTTAAGACTTGATAAGTTACCCTTTAGAATACTTACACAATTTTAAACTTAGTGTATTGAAATAACCTAGAGGTGATTATTTTATTCATTGGATTAGAAACTACGAGTATAAAGTTATTGAACTATAATTATTAAACATTTTCTATAAAACTTCGTTTTCTTATTCGTATTTGAAACTCAGGTATTGTGAATAATTAGTTTTAAAACTATATTGTTAATTACACAGTTCAAAAACCTAGACATAGGTAAATATAATTTTATATGTATGTATATATCGATACGAACTCTGTTAATTAAAGTATCTAATTAAAGAAACTTAGGCATTGGTAGCCCATTGGTAATGCGCTCGCTTGGGAAACCGATTGAAGTAGGTACAAATCCCGGGTCTTGCATCTTTGACATATACATGTGTGAATCATTTTCACGCGATTACCACCTGTCTTATGATGAAGGAAAACATCATAAGGAAACTTGCTTATCTGATAGAACTTTGGAAGTTTTTGAAAAACCTGATCCCCCTCGTATTGAAAGAAGGCCCGTGCTCAGCAGTGGGACGTTAAAAAGGGCTTCATATAAAGAAACAAAGTATTTTACAATAGCTGCAGTTGTAGCTCTAATCTCGTGGAACGTCTTTTTGAAAAGTTCGAGTACAACTCGTCAATACTTTATCTTTCTATTAGTATCAAAATTAAATATAGTATGTGTAGTATACACTGTGTGTACAACAAATATTCATTAATTATACTTTGAAAATTAGTTTATTAATTTTGCTTAAATGAATATCATTTAGACAAAAATTTATCAATAAAAGACATAAACAACGTTGTTAATTTTATATTGGATCAAGTGAGTATCGAGTAGCTAGTGTTAACATAATCGAAAATAAATAAAGCACGATAGTCAAATCTTTAACCTACGCATTAGTGATATAAATTTTCTGAGCTTTTATACGTAGCTATAATAAAAGACAAAATTTACTTGTAAGTTTTCTAAGAACAACGAACTCGTATAAAAAGCTACTGAATACGTGTTTTTGTACATTTTAAGTTCCCAAAAAAGTTTCTATTGTGTGTTAGGTTAGACAAAAAGCTAACAATTCGTCATTATCCAAAGTCAAACCTGACGCGTGTGCCGAACTGGAAATAAGGCCGGAGCTCAAGACTGGAAAGCTTATTCTAGGGGCCATAAACACAGCGATATTTACGTATATATTATGTATATACCTTCACTATAGTAAACGTCTTAGCAGTATTTTCTTTGCACTTCTGTCTGCTTACGATTAACTTTTGATACAATTCGTTGACAAAAATATCAAATGAAACCGCGAAAAAATCCGAAAGATAGTTTTATTTGAAAAGTAATTTTAAGTTAATTAAGTTTTTTCGTTACAAACATACAAAATACAAATCTTGTATAATATTAGTGTAGACGTAGATAAAAAAAGCACATATTAATTAACGAAATTTTAACACATCATAATGTTATAATTAAAAATAATTATTTATTACAATTTAGCAAAACAAAATAACTGATAAGAATCACCACTTAGAGAAGCAACCACAAAAATTGTAACGCTATTTTAAAAGCCGCACATTGCATAGTGCAAAATGGAAATGACAGCAAGTTCTTTGTTGTGGTGCGAGCACTAAGGTGGTCTTTTGTTTTTCTAACGCGTCGTACCCGGCCTTTCCCACCGTCTCACTATGATAAAGAACCGGCGGTTGCGATATTGCACCAAATAAATCACACAACGTACAATCTGAAGCCTTTTGTTGTCAGCTTTGGCTACATTGTTTTTATTTTTGGCGCAAAGAATGGGTTGTTTACGGCGCTACGGCTGCTTCATATTTTAATTTATACCTCCGTTCTATGATTACTTGTCCAAGATTCTGTGTCGGTACTTCCTTTATTTTTTTAATTATTACTGATAGAATTGAGTTTTGTGATTATTTTGGGAATATTAGGTCGTGATTGAACTATCGATTGATTCGACCATACTTATTAAGGCTTTTTTATTGTTTATAATATACTTATACACTAGTATTCTTACACGTAAGAGACTATTAGAATATGAAATATTCAAATGCGATTTAATTTAAAATAATAGACATCTAATAATATTATATTTATAATATAAAATATTTTATTGTTAGTTCAATTCTAGCGCAGAATGAATGCTTAATATATAATAATTAATGTTTTTAGCTTGGTTATAGAATAATAAAACTTTGATTTATTCAGGAGTAGTTTAAATATATTTTGGTTTTGATTAAAGGAGTGAATGGACAAAATTAATAAATATTTTAATAATTTATATTTTTCTTTATAAATATAATAATGGCAACACTAAATATATATTACTAATTAATATTTTTAAAATTGTAATAATTATAATGGTAACAGTAAAAATTAAATAAATAATATTTGATATTCAATTATAAAACTAATTAAAATTTTAAGAATATTTAAAGTTATAAAATATTGTAAGGTACTTGGTGCAATTTTTCATTTTGTTAATTGTGGATAGGTTGTCTGTAACAACTATACCTTCGAGACGTCTAACATCTCAGTATTTTCCGTGACCATGATTGCTGTAAAGCATTCGAAACGTCGGGAACCAAAAATCAAAATAAATTCGTGAAAAAATCCGAAAAGATAGTTTTATCTAAAACATCTATTATCTTACCAAATTTCATCAAAATTTGTCACGTGGTTTTCTCGTGATGCGTTCCCAAACAGACAGGTAGACAAACATTCTAAAAACTATAGATTGGGCCTCTGCATTGGTAATAATGACTATTTCAATAAGATTTTCCACAGAAAAATAAAGTACAGTTAAAAATAACCCTATATCGGTTTTAAGCGCATACACACACTGTTTGTATCACGTCGATTCGTTGCCACTTAACTTCAGTAAGTAAAAATAAACAAAAATACACCAATACACATATTAGTAGGGTTTCCAAAAATAAACGTTCTAGGATAAGAAATGTCTAAAAATTTAGAATTTTCATCTTAGATCGTATTAGCTGGTATCAGGTGAAAGGCAATAAAGCTATCCGTGTTTGTTCGATCTAAGCAGCCAGTGAGTGTAGAGACATTGGTTGAATAAAACAAAACGTGAATTCCTATCGCGCTCCGGCAGACTTGTGGATCGTTTTATTTCAACAGAACAAATGGGGCAGATACGGGTCCGACCGTAACTTAGTCTTTGAGTTTAGTTAGCTTTTTACACTTTAAAAATAATCTTAATCTCTTTTAATTTATAGATAGTTTTATTAGATACTAGCTACTTAGTCTGGCTTTCGCTATGTGTTACTGTGTGTACAAGTCCATTTTTGCACTAAATTTCACCCAAATCCGTACAACGTTTTCGCATTTACAATAGTAATCTGGTTTATTGTAAGTATTTTATAACATTCGGTATATTTGTGGCAATTCATTGTTATTAATTTTATAAGCTTTGACTTAAATATTTTAAAAGTTCTAATAGGCTAGTTATTTTAATGTTTTTTTGCTATAATATTAAATAATTCAAAATACGATAATTTTCTTTTGCAAAATAACAAGTTTATATCATATATTTTAGTATCGTCTGTGACGAGAAAACTCGTTTCACGTACATATCGACTAATAGCTATAAGGACTATTAGAATTTTACAATTCAGGCAACATGAAATCACATAAAATATTTAGCGCAGCCCTGCAATATGTATGGGAGCAAAACCCGCGTCACATCAGTCACGTGACTGGAATATATCTAACGATTAAAATGCTCACGGTACTTTTGTAGCCACGATTGTATCATTCTAGTATCTAACATATGCGTATAATAGCAAATAACTGGATATATGGAGCAGACGAAACGTCATTTCATCTTCTTGGAGAGTGTGGACATCGTATGCTCAAGAAGAGTATTCATACATTTGTTTTGTTTTTAGTGACCCTACTTGCCAGCAGTCGCTGGTTCAAGTCCCGCATTCATTTGTGTGATGAGCATGAATGCTTGTACTATGTATGTATTTAAAGTTATATATGTGTAGTGTATCAACTATCTGGTATCCATAACACAAACCTCGTAGCTTACCATGAAACTAGATGGTGCTGTGTGTTAATGTTCGAACATATTATTATTATAATATTATCTATGGAAACACTTTTAGGCCCAGATGAAATTCGCAAATCCTGCAATATATTCGCTGTCCAGCTGTAGTTTACTTTAGTTCAACATGCGTCGATTACGATTAACCAGAAATAATCGTAGTTATATTTTAATCACAAAAATACTTCCTAAGGAAGTCAAGTATAACAACATTATAACAAAATAAATGTTTCATTGTAACCGTTTTATAGGTTATGTTTATAGTAGTGCGAAGCTATTAGAATTGAATCATAACTTTGTAACAGCTATTGTGCGGTTATCTAGTTATATATTCTGAAAAGCATATAACAGTAGACTCACAATCACAATGAACATTTATTTTATTAAATTCGTCTTATACAAGCAATTTTAAATCTGCATATATATATATATATATATTTATATATATATATATATATATATATATATATATATATATATATATATATATATATATATATATATATATATATATATATATATATATATATATATATATATATATTGTGAAGATGAATGAATGTTTGTTACTCCTTCACGCCAGAACGGCTGAACGGATCTGGATGAAATTTGGCACAGAGATAGGTTCATATCAGAGATAGCACATAAGTTCCTTTTTATCTTAGAAAAAGGTACAGTTCCCGTGGGATAATTTTTTTTTATTTTTCACAGAGCAAGGGATCGACTATCTATTCTATACCAACCGTTTAAACGTACCTATCTAACAACGAACCTGAGCGAAGTGAGGGTAAGTTGCTAGTAGATAATAATTGCTACCTGAATGAATGAAAATAATACTAAGCGAGGTAAAATTACCAGTACTCTATTTGAAAATCAATATAGGTTTTATTAAACGTAATTACTGAAAAAACTTAGAGAAAATCTTAAAATGCACTTCAGGTGAATCTCTGTAAAAAACATTCGCATTAAGAAAACGCGAGAAATCCTTAAGATAGCTGAGATTCTTAAAAAATATTAAGCTTCAAAAGCCCTCAAACAAATATGAATGTTGAAATATCTTAAGAATCGAGTGCAATTTCATTTCCATCTCGAGGATAGTGAAGGTGTCGACTTATTGCATTCGTTTTATATTTAAAAGTTGCTATTGAACAGTGATTTTGGTCTTATTTGAATGTTGCTTCTAATTGCTATTGTCTGTATTACCTAATGGATCGCTTTAAAGTATAACAAAACTCTTTATTTTAGCAAAAAGGCAAAAGTCACCTAAGAATAAAGCCTTTTTAAAATCCTACTAATACTTTAAACGCGAAAGTTTTTGCGGATGAATGGATCGATGTCTGTTACTCTTTTACGTAAACACTACTAAACGGATTCTGATGAAACTTTACAATAATATAGCTTGTACATAAGAATAACACATAGGATATAATTTTAAAAGATATAGTAATAGGTACATATTTAAATTCCGCGTTCAAAGCTGTACGTACGATAGTATAGTAATAAAAAGAATATGGCCGTGACGAATTTAAAGTGGGTAAGTATCTAAATAACGTTTCAAGAAAACTTTAAATATTTACAAGGTAGGATAGATATTGCTAGTAGCTTATACATACATTTTAGGTAGTAGTAAACCTAGTGAAGCGGGTTCAAATCCTGGCTCTCGCGCCTTTGATTTTTTCATGTGTTAATTCATTTGTAACTTGATTACCAATTGCCTTTCGGTAAAGGAAAACATCGTGAGCAAACCTGCATGTCTGAGAGAACCTAGCAAGGTTTTGAAAGACATGTGAAGTCCACCTACCCGCATTTGGCCAGCGTGGTGGACTATGGCCTGATCCCAATCGTATTGAGGGAGGCCCGTGTCCAGCAGTGAGACGAAAAAAGGGCTGAATACTTATACATTTTTTGTATATTTAACCTTATTTTTATTACGATAGTTAAGCAACTGCTCTTATGAGTAATCTTAAGAGAAAACTTTTCGTTTGAAAAACGACGAGACTGGCTTACATAGAAGCAAAGCACGTCATTTAATACTCGTAATATACGTTTAATAATCTTGATGAAAGTGAGATTGAGTACACGTA